TTTTTTTTTTTTTTTTTTGTATCAGGGATCAAACTCAGGTCTTTGTGCTTGCAAGGCAGGTGGCAGAACCACTGAGCCAAATCCCTGGGATGAAACTTTACTTCTTAAAAGATTTTTTTTAATTAACAGTAGATAACATAGCAGAATATAATAGAAAACATACCTGTTCAGAATCCTGGAGGGGACAAAATTCTCTACTGCAAAAGAAACAAAGGAATTTAATAACCTACATGTGTGCACAGGCACACAAAACATAGAGCCCCAAGTCAAGGAAAATTGATGTAACCTTGTAATAATAAATACAAATAAATTAACTTGTCCATTAAAGATAAAAATTCTTTACTAAGAATAATCAGATTCCAACAACATATTCTTTTGGAAAAAAACTTCTAAAATGGGGAAATATTTTTTTTAAGAAGGATAAAAAAAGATAGATCTAACAAATGTAATAAAAGAAAATCAGGAGATGCAGTAATAGTATCAGAGAAAATAAATTCAAATAAAATAAGTAAAATAATTACAAGATAATTTATAAAGGTTACCATTCCAAAGGAGATATTTCCATAGACATCACACATTTTTTTTTTTTGTACATTGGATCGAACTCAGGACCTTGTGCTTCTGCGGTGCCACTGAGCTAAATCCCCGGTCCTTACTCACATTTTTATTAAAACATATCAGTGGGCCAGGGATTTAGCTTGCCACCTTCCTTGCAAGTGCAAGGTCCTGAGTTCAATCCCTGGTACCAAAAAAAAATTAATTATAAACTACCATTTATGTAGCATTAAGAGAAATGAATAAGCAAATGCATTAGATGCCATCAACACACCATTATTGACTGATATGGTCAGTGAAAAATAGGAAGATAACATAATAATATTAAATAATCATATGCATTAAATTTTGTTCTCAACAGAGTCCTCTTTGTCCATGTCATCCTTCAACATTTATAAAATCAAATCCCTAAACATTTACAAAATTAAACACAACAAAATTGAATAAAATCCCAAGAGAATGAAGAATACAGTCACATACTTCAACGCCGTTTTAATAGAAATACAACATTTTAAGTGCAAATATTAAAAGTATCGACTCTAATGTCAAAGAAGAAATGTAAACTACAATCATTAAGTATGGGTAAAATTATGATAAATGCATTGTGAGAGTTGATTGTGATTATTGACACATGGATTAGGAGATGCCCGGCAGACTAGTAAAGAACCCTTCCAGGTGCTCCTGGGGGGTGTTTTCGAGATGACTGAAAACAAGGATGCTGGGTGCTGCATCCTTGGTCTCTCGTGTTCCGCAGCTTCCAGCTTCTTGCAGGAACAGTACCTGGGTCCCCTTGCTCTGCAGATGCAGATGGCTGTTGAGCACTGTCCAGCCTCTGACCCTTTGAGCCCATTTAATAAAGTCTCTTGCACTACTTTCTTTAAAATATTGAGTCTGTTCCTGTAATGAATCCTAGCCAATACCTAGATACACGTGATTTTCATTTTCTCCTTTTGGCTGGGTTGCATTTTTAAAAGGTCTAACACATAGCATATGTGTCTTTTGAGATACCACTCTAAAATATAATTTTAAAAGTGTAAAAATAGCAATGTCAGCAATATTACACAGTGGAACTTTTGAGAAAAGGACAAAACCATATTGAGAAGATATATCAAAATCATGCAGACTTTTAAAGGGAAGAGAGCTACTAAAAGTGAATTTGTTAAACATTTAGCTAAAAAATTAATATAAAGTATAACAAAAACTCTAGGAAAGCATGAGAAAAGAAGGGATACAGAGTGTATCAGCAAATTGGAGCAGTTTAATTGGTTATTTGCAAATGATAAGAACTCAATAAAATCATAATGCATGAGGCAAAACTAATAGGAAAAACTATTATGCATATATTCATTACCAAAAACAAACACTGAAATATAATCATAAGTTTCGATGACCTTTTAGACTATCAGGACATACTAATACTATGGAAAACTTTATGCTGACAAATTTTATAACATGGCTTAAAGTTTCTAAAAAATAAATAGCTAAAATTAACACATATCAAAGCTGAGCAAATAAATTAATTATAAAATTAAAAGTTTAACATTTATGTCCACAAATAATGCCAAGCTCAGTTTATATAGTTCAAGTATTTTAAAACTTCAAAATAAAGAAAAATCTTAGGGTTTTTTTTTCCCCAAATATCTATGGCACTAAAAAGCAATAGTTCTCCTCTTCAATAATCTTGATATCAATACCTTGCAAAATTAGTGACCCATGATAAAAATGCCAGTACATCTCATTTGTAATAAAAATAAAAAATCCAAATAGAACACAAAAATCTAATTCACTGATGTACTCCAAGAACAACATGCAGCTTCAGACCTTACTCAGGAGTTTAAAAGACTCTCACATAAGAAAATCAAATATGTGAAGTATGACATTAATAGTAAGAAAAACTGCGCGGCCAATAAGCGAGGTCCTGGGGGTGGGGGAGATACCCTGAGAGGTACAAAGGGGCCTCCTCCTCTCAGAAACACTCACAGGCAAAGTGGGGTGCACAAAGTCAAGGCTTCCTTCCAAGGCCTATGAGCAAGAAGAGAATTCATTATCCTTTCTAGGTTGTTAATAATAACCCTCCTGAGAAACTAATAGAAGTATTTCTCTAGCACTGTATCTAGTGGCAAAAAGCAAGCATGATTAGTATGGCTATGAAAAATACAAATGTATATACAGGTAGGCTCAGTTAGCCTGTTGGTTCCAGGATTCCCAGCCAGCTTTCCTTCAACAGATAGCAAAATCCATACTCTCCAGTCCCTTACATAAGATTGTATAGTATTTGCATTTAACCTGTACATATCCTCCTGTGTACTTTAAATCATCTGTAGGTTACTTATTATACCTAATACAGTGGAAGTGCTATGTAAATATTGCTGTGCCATGTGTTTTAGTGAATGATTATGAGATATGTGTGCTCATGTTTAGTACAAATGCATTTTCTTTCTAATATCTTTAATCTTTAGTTGATTGTATCCATAGGTGTGTGGCCCATGTATTCGGAGAGCCGAGCATCACTGGAAAATATTTTCCAATTGTTCTAGCTAATTAAATAAAACCATAAATATAAGTGAGGTATAGATTGAGCAAATGAAAGTTATTATATATTGGTAAGATGGCCTATGTATGAAATTAGAGACTCAACAGAAAAATAAATAATTAAAACATCTTGCAAATCAGTATGATTCTGTGAAATACATTTTTGGTCTTACCTCCTATTTCTTTCCTAGCATACAACTCCCCCAATCCTCAGAATCGTCAGAATAGTGCTATGGATCTGTTGGACCCACGATGAGTTGAATACTTTGGGATGGGTGTGGTGACCTCTCTGGAAAGGCAAATGCAGATCTGGACTTTTAGTCCTACCTCCCCTGCCCTCTACTGAGTGGTGAGAAGCAGAAAGTTCAATTACCTCCAAAGCCCAGGAATGTGATCAGTCATTATTATGCAATGAAATCTCCATGACAACCCAAATCAAGGGGCTTGGAGAGGTTACAGTGGAGCTCACAGAGGACCCCATGGTGGGTGAGTCCATGTGGGGTGTGTTCCTCTCCCACCCCATCCTATACTCACCCTGTGGATCTTTGCATCTGGATCCTTCCTAACTAACCTGTAAGGATGAATGCTTCCCTGAGTTCTGTGAACAACTCCTGCAGAGTGATTGAACTTGAGTAAGGAGTAGTGGAACCTTTCAAGTTATAGCCAGTCAGTGAGAAGGACGAACAGGGGCTTTCAGTTGGCATCCCAAGAAGGAGGAGATCTTGGGGACTGAGCCCTCAATCTGAGGGATCTGGTGCTGTCTTCAGGTGGAGAGAAAGAATGGAAACTGTGGAGGACACACAGCTGGCCTGTTCTCCAGAATGAATTTCTTGTTTGTTGGGGGAAGAAACATTTATCGGTCTTAAAATTACAGAAGTTTTTTGTATTGATTGTGTTGTGAAAACAGAGAAAAAACAAAACAAGCTGGTTTTTTTCAACATAAATGGCCAACTGTGAACTGCACACACACTTAACACATGAGAGCTTTTTTCTGTACCAGAAATAACTTATTAATGAGTGTAATTGAAAACATTTCCATTCACAAAGATAATATAAAAACTAGCCAAGACCAAGTTTCAAACAATGTAAAACCTATGTCAAGAAAATTGTAATATTTTATAGTAGAGAATCCTCTGGAACCTCAAGGAAGAGTTAATATATCATTCTTGTTGATTGAAAAGTACAATTTTATAAAGCTGTCTATTAACAGAGAATTGAAATTGCAATTTACAAACATTTATGTCTATATCCTAACAGTATAATATGATGAAACATATCATTGTAATTCAAATTTTGTAATGTAAAATTGTGATTGTGAATATAAATCAATATAGCTTTAAAATAAGCCTAAGTATCTAAAAACATGTAGAATATTGTAGTAGTGATATTTCAGGTGAATGGAGAAAGAGTAGAAAATTTGACAAATTATGTTACAGCAACTGGCTGACTGGATATTTATTTACTTTTTTTTTTTTTCTTTTGGTACCAGGGATCGAACTCAGGTCCTTGGGATTGTGAGGCAGGCAGTGAAACCACTGAGCTAAATCCCCTGCCCTGGTTATTTACTCTTGTGAAAATGTTCCCATTTATAAAACTAAACTAATGCAAAAATATCAAGCTCCAAATATTTAAAAGGTAAGACTTATATCAAGGAAGGTATAAATGAATTTGTGAAATATGAAATGACCTCAAAATCTGGCACAACAGAATACCTTCCCAGGTAAATCATAGAGCCCGATTTACAAAGTGCATGATTGTGTCCCATGCCATAAAATTTAAAATGTTTGTGCACCAAAAGAGAGATGTGTGTGGTATTTGCAAAACAATGGCAAAAGAGTAAAAGAAGGTAAAATAATTGAAGAATGAGAATTCAAATGGTTAACCACTGTAGTAATAAACCGGGATGAAGTTTTGGAGGCATAATTGCACAAAAGCATCAGAAACCTTAAGAATTTTCAGAATATTTCATCATCAAGTACTCTTCAAGGACTAACCCTTTGGGGTGTGTGGCAAAGCATTTTTTGAAATGATTTTTTAATGGCATCAGTTTGGTTGATCAGGATAAATCAGGATTTGGGGAGTGCACTGGGTGGTTTCTTGCTTTGAATGTGGATGTGTGGAGGTAAGATAGAAAATGCTATTTCCTACATTTCCTATGTCCATCTTCCATTCACCTGCACAGAGCAATTCAGCTCTCTCAGCCTCTAACTCCAACTTGACTATTCAAACCTCTCACGTGCCCAGTGACCCACAAACCTTGGGGTGATGGATTCTGTCAACAGAAAGCAGCAAAAGCTTATAAGCAAAATTATTTTTCATTATAAACGGAGAAGTAAAATGAATTATCCCAATGAACCAAATATGTGTTAAAAAAGCATATATGTACATGTTCATATGCATCCATTATTACAAGAGTATGTATGGATATTACAAAAATCTTAATTTTTATGAAAGAGACGCCTGTCTAGCAAAGGTTTCTTCTCCACTTCCATTATTGTCTCAGGTTAGCCTGCTGGAGATAGACTCAGGGGTTGGACGCAAAAATGTGGTGCACATCTATAAAGAAGAGAGAAGCCAAGATTCAGGAAAGCGAGAGGCCATTGTACCACACTGTGACACTGAAATTTTTGTTGCTCCTGCAGAGAGTTTGGGAGCTGGAATGCTGCTGGTGAGTTTTCCCAAATTGAAGTGAGCGGTAGAGAGGTGACTCCACGAATCATCAGCCACAGGCAGTGCTGAGAGGGGCAGTCAGCTAGGAGCCTCCAGCAGGTCTCCCCAGCAACTTGGAGAGGAAGCCCATCATGCCCACCACGTCCTGCACGGTGTAGCTAAGTTGCAGGAGAGAGTTACGGGAAGAGCCTCTAAAGGGATCCGCAGGATGAGCTCTCACAGGCAAAGTGTGTGGAAGCGCTGCTTGAGCTGTCTGGTAGGGTGGGTAAGAAGCACACAAGTTCCCTGCATGTCTCAGGCAGGCCATGCTGTGCAATAGCAACAAGAACTCTGAAGCCCTAGGGATTTTTAACACAATCCAAGCATATCTGTTACTAAGGCTGCATTCTCCATGCATCCTGACAATTTGCAGGGAAGTTCTTCTCCTTCTGGTGACTCAGGGTTCTGATCCAGATCTGATCTTCAGTCTTGTGACTGCTTTCTCAACCTGGGATGTCTGGATTCAAGGGAAGTGAATCATGCATGGAGTTCCACTGTCTCCCCCGGAGGTGGCACACGTTCTTCTTTGGAATCTCATTAGTCGGGTCGGTCATTCTAACACAAGGTGATACTAATGGGCAGAGAAATATAGTTTTCCAAGAATGCAGAATAAAATATGGGGTCTTCTTGTCTCCCAGGACGAGCAAATGACCTTCAAGACCTGGAACAGGGCAATGCCCCCTGTTACAAATGGGCCCAAAAGGCTCTTCCATTCAGAGATGGGGCTTTGGACAGTGACTGGATCGTGGTCATGTGCTAAATTCCTCAGTGGATTAATTCTCTGATGAGTTCCTAGCTCAATGTGCTGTTAGAAGGTGGGGCCCTGGTTACTGGCTGGGGGATGTGACCTGGAAGTAGAAAAAATAGAAAGTCTTGACCCAGAGCCACTTCTCTTAGGTGCCCCCCTCCCCCTCTCCCCTAACCTCGCCATGAGCTGAACCACTTCCTCTGCCAGGCCCCTCCACTATGATGTTTCTGCCTTAGAGCCAGTCAACTATGGATAGAAATTTCCAAGAACACATATCAAAATGATTCCTTTTACCTTTAAATTAATACCAAGAATTTTGTCCTACCAGCAAAAAGGTACCTAATGTTCCTCCAAAAGGGAGATTGGGTCCCTGAATTTCCTCCTGGAGGACACTTGAGCAACCACGTTGGACTGAGCAAGCAATAAAATATTATTACACTGATTCATCTATCCTTGTACTAGATACATCAGTTACAGTAAATAGCGTCAACAACTATATTCTTTTTTTTTGGTTTTTCTGAGTTTTTCAAACATTCTGCATGACCTTATAAACACACAAAAATTATTTTTGAAGATGTCTGACACCCATTTTCCTTCAGTTGTTCAAAGTGTTGCAGTCCTTATACATCTTCACTTAACATTTTATCTCACTTAATACTTGATCCTGTCCAAGGATTCAGCAACTCAGAGCCCACTGAGGGCTTAGTTCAAATTCACATTTGAATTTAGGAAGCTGCGAATTCAGGTTCCAAAGAATAAATGTTCTAGCTTGCTTTTAACCTGTGGACTGGGGGACAGGTTATACCATATGAAGTAACATTTAGATTGCTCTCCATTTAAATGCCTAAAAATCACCTAAAAGTGTAATTAGAAGCTCTTGCCTTACTCCAGTAACTATATATATTTTTTTAAGTCATGGAACAAAAGCTATGCCAAAAGTTTATGGATATTTTCAGAATTCTATCATTACAATGTAGAGATTGTGAAACTTTTGAAGTTACTTTATGGAATGTGATAATTTCAAAGATTAAATTTCTTAGTGTAACTGATCTTTAAAATAGAAACTATTTCAATATATAAGTAAAAGTAACTCTAACCCAACATTTTTATCTCAGTATTAAATGTTTCAATGAGAATATTATCATATGCCAATAATTATGGAGAATATATATTTTTAAATATTAAGTGCAACCAAAATTTTTGAAGTCAAAAATTTTAAATGAACTTCTTAAGAATTTTACATTTGCTGGGCGTGGTGGCACACACCTGTAATCTGAGCACTAGGGAGGCTGAGGCAGGAGGATCGCTGTGAGTTCGAGACCAGCCTGGGCTACATAGTGAGTTCCAGGTCAGTCTCAACTACATAGTGAGACCCTGTCTCAAACGCCCCCCCAAAAAAAGAATTTTACATTGGATTATATATTACCTAATGCTATATAATTTTTATTTGACCATCTATAACATTACTCTTGAGTCTACCGCTTTCAGAATGTTGGGTTGTATATAACATGTATTTTGCTAATCTGCATATAAAAATATTTAGACAATATATTTTATGACTTTCAATTGTGTTACCCATAAGTATCTTTAAGGTGCTTAGAATATTTTCTGGAGGCCGGGCGTAGTGGTGCACACCTGTAATCCCAGCACTCGGGAGGCTGAGGCAGGAGGACTGCTGTGAGTTCGAGACCAGCCTGGGCTACATAGTGAGTTCCAGGTCAGTCTCAACTGCATAGTGAGACCCTGTCTCAAAAAAACCCCCCAAAAAAAGCTATTTTCTGTATCACTTTTTAAACCCAAACTTTAAAGCAAATATGATTTACATACCTTAATGTAGTCAGTGTCAGAGGTTTCAAATGATGCATTTATTGCATATAGTATACTTGTTTATAAGTAGATTAATATAGATTTAATAAGATAGTTTTCTGTCTTTTTAAAAAATCTGAAATTAATAATTAGAAAACTTTAGTTACAACATGTTTACATGTGAGATATAATCTCTATAAGTCTTTTGATAAAATCAGAGCCAGGAAGCCATCTATGAAAAATATTTATTTTATAATTTGATCTATTCATAGTAGTAGGTTCCTGTGTCAGGGGCTGGTCCATCAAATACTTGATCTTTTACAATGAATAACATTTTATATTTTCTTAGATGGAAATTAGCAATCTATTCCAATCATTGAGAAATTGAGTAGGAGATTTTAAATGGAAATGCTTATGATTATTGCAAAAGGTTAAACCTTACAAGTTATTCTGAGCACATCATATAAATATTTTTGGAATAATATTGTTAGGCATATAACAATTACCACAGTGAGTCTGATAGCATTAAATGTAAAATATTTATGGACTATAACATCTTTTATACCATTTGGCCAGACTGTAAACAAGTAACCTTTTATCTAGATATTAAATATTTCTTTTATTTTAGATTTAGAAAACTGCAAGCTTGTTTTAATCTTTTAGATGAGGTTTTCTATCTAATTTCATGGCACATGCTGATTTTTCCATTTACTTTTTTGTAGGAAGAAAAAATGACATTGATGTCAAAATTCTCTGAAATAGAAATATTTAGAGAGCTGGCAAAATGGACACTCATGGGACCAAGTTCAATAAATTATCCAAGGAGAATCGCTAACTATGTGTAATTATTTTAATATGTATCATTAGGCTACATTTTTGTGGTGTGCATTTTCACTTTTACATTGCTTCCTTGTTTCTAGTCCAAGGACATATTTCAGTGTTATAATTTCTTCCTCCTAATGTGACTATTATTTGTGCTTTAGAAGTGATTTGTAGATTTTTTTGACAAGGGACAGGGGTCCTTCATATCATAGCTATTTTATAGAAAATTAAAAGGAAACTACAGTTGCTCATTGGTATGCAGGCAATTTAAAGGACCTGCATGAGCTGTGCTACCTTAAATTTTCTGTACTTCCTCTCTCTCAAAGAATTTCCATTTTTATGTCGTCTTTGACAAGGTTTTTATTCTAAATGACTTGCCTTTTGCTCCTGACTTGCATTGAAAGGGCAGCAAAACTTTGAGACCGTACATAGGACTCAGAAGTTAGACACGCACTGTACAAACACTAACTTATTTGATTCCTGTAAAAGTCTCTTGCCGTCACCTTTTCATGGATGAGGGGTGAGGCCCTGACAGTAATACTCTGCCCAACCGGACTCAGCTTGCTAGGGGGCAAGTGAATCTAAGTTTCTCATCCCTGAATCCTGGAATCTCGCCTCTCCCATGGGGTAGGAGACGGTGGATGTGTGGCACATAGAATGCGTCGCACCTCCCTGAAATGCCTGCCATGGTCTGACCACAGAGAAAGACAATAGCAGTGAGAATCTGGGGAATCCATCTGTGCCACAGTGGCACCAGACGTGAGAAACTAAAATGTGCTACACACTGCCGCCACCATTTGCATTTGGGGAGAGATGATTCTTCTCTCTCATGGATCTAAAAGGAAACAGCCAGTCCTACATCCTTTTATTTCTTCTTGTCGAATTAAGTACTGGGTGCATTTCCAACCCAAGGAAACTGTGACAACTTCAGGCTCTCAGCCCTAACAGCAGGCTTCCTGTACAGGATGAGCATTATGTCTCTTTCATGAGAATTAAAGATCTAATCTGGCCTGAGCTCCATGGATGCTGATCAGAGATGGAGGCTTCTTCAAAAACGGGAGTCACATGATTACTTTTTATGGATGAAGTACTCTAATTATTCAGTGGGGATTTCTTTCAGGTTACAGGATTTTTATTGGAAACTATTTAACTTTCAGTGCCTGTCATTCGAAGTGGACAGTGTGGAGGAACATATAAGAATTACTGGAGCTCAAGGCCAGCCCTCTGTAATTTGCATATATCCATATAATACAATTTTTATCTCCTTTTCACATAGGAAGGCAGTGAAATTGCCGATGTCATCCACAGGCTGCGGCATAGCATATTGGTTGTAGCAAAACTGTTAATAATAATAACGCAGGAAATTCAATTTTAGGAACCAGCTATATTTATCTACACAAGAAGAATCTTCTCAGATACTAACTAGAGCAAATGAAGGGGAAAACCTGTACTTTCCCTTTCACTTCTTTTTCTTTACTATTCGCTACGTTGGAAATTAAATCTAGTGCATAATTTCCTGCAGCAACTGGATCATTTTAATAATGAAGATTAAACAAAGAACATACAGATGACTAAGAGGAGAAA